TATGTTTGAGTTAAGTAATTATGAAAATTGAGCTGATAATTATCTAACATTTACTAGATCATTTGTTCTGCCTTAGGTGCTTTATACCAACAAGTTCCTGTACAATGAACTTGAGTGAGCACCAATAAGTGCCATGTGGTGCAGCCAGAGACTCATGGGCAGAGGGTCAGAAGATGCCTGGGACCCCTTCTTTCTTGCCACCCTGTGGAGTGGCTCAGATAGATGCAGGTGGGAAAATCTAGAGACCCCATCTCTTAGTTACTCCTTCCTTTGAAAAGCATGAAGACGACATTATAGTTGGGGTAAATCATTTGAGTTTGGGTCCTATGCAGTCAGTGTTTAGATGCCAAGAACCCAAGGGAATACTGGAAACTGCAGTTTTGTAACATTTGAAGACCCTGGGAGAAGTTGAGATCATTCACAGGCCTCCTGTTGAGGGCAAGGGAGGCACTTAGTCCTGGCTAGCAAACTCAAAAGAGCCTGGGGGTCATTCAACAGTCTGCTTATGTTTCACACTGACATTTAGCACTTAGCAGGCAGAGTACCATGTGATTTGTATGTATTATTTCATGTCATACTCATAAGAACTTTATGAGGTAAATATTCTTGTGCTTATTGTCATTTTACATTTCAGCAAACTGAAGCAGAGTGCATCATTTTTTACACTATATAATACTGTTTGTCAGAACTGGGTATTTAGAGTATAGAAAGACTGATTAAAAGGATAACAGGCATGAAGGGTCAAGGTCTAGGGTTCTATTGGAATAGTAACTTTGGGAAAGCAGAGGTGTCAATAAATTTTATAAACATGGTAAATGTTAATCTTCTCAATATCACACAGCTGTTAGATGGGGAAAGTATCAGGACTGGAGAGAAAAGAGTAAAGCACTGACTTTGTTTACACAATTTAAGAGGCCTCCAAAAATCCTCAGTAATTAAAATAAATAATATCTCAATGCAATATTTAAAACTTCAAAATTAATAAAAAACATACGATGAAGAAAATATTAAAATTTTAAATCAAGACAGGAACAGGATCATTATTACTGTTTTCTCCTTTTGTCTCTGGATCCTGAACTTGAATGCTACCACTCTGAACTCAGAGCCCAAGCTTATAAACATTATTTGCTGATGTTTCTCAGGATATGAAAGATAAAGAAGAGTCAGATATAAATTACATAATGTAAGGCTGATGGTCAAATATAATAATGAAAAAATGGCTTGATTCTTTAAGAGGAAAGCTGAAAAAATAACTCATTTACTTTTCCTTGTATAGTCCCATTTATTAATAGAAACTTAAGTATGAGTGTATTTCGGCTTCAAACAGAGAGTGTAAATAAAAATCTTACTTAATTTTAAATTTTCTTGGCCTCTCTTGCTTCTCTTGTGTTCTTTCACCAGTGCCAAGAATCCAATTATTGACTACAGGTAACCTAAAGCTGTTTTCTCTGCATTTAGTTGTGTCTTTTTCTATGAAAAATATAAGATACAGTTAAGAGTGATTTGAACACTAAGAAATATTTCTTATCTCATATAACAGAAGCACTGATGGTAGGGTGATTACGACATCGGATACTTTAATGCCTCAACGATGTCATCATGGACTCAATGTTTGCAATTGATTGTGCCTTCCTCAATGAGTCAGCTACTGTCATGTTTACAAGATGACAGCAGGAGCTTCAGGCTCTTGCATTCCCATTTGACAAAGTCCTTGTTCCTCCTTTTATGAGCAAGAAAATCCCTCCTTGAATCTCCCCAACCAAAACCTTGCCTTAGAACTCATTGTGCATTTATGATTTTTTTTTTGATAGTACATAGCACATTAGTTAAAAGTCTTGTTCTGCTCATCTCAGGGTGTGCAAAATCTGGCTCCATTACTTACTAGCTTTCTAACCTTACTCATTTTAATTCTCTGTGCCTCGGTTTTTCTTATATTTAAAAAGAAAGGGATAAAACAATATGTCTACTTCATTGGGTTGTTGACAGGGAAAAGTGAGTTAATACGTGTAAAGATCTTAGAATGGCGTCTACCTACTGTTATTTTTATGGTGATTTTCACTGTTGTGTATATAATTTAACTGATAAAAACATGAGAAATAAGAAAGTACAATTACCTGAGTATCTCTTAAGAAAGAAGACCTCCATAAAAGTTGTAGTTGCATTGTATAACATTTTTCCATTGATATGATTTGGATGTGATGTCTGAAAGAGAAAATAAGACTCAACTTGAGGCCTAGTAGCTTATATATATATATTGTGTGTGTGTGTGTGTGTGTGTGTGTGTGCCTTTAAGTTTTTAAAAAAGTTGTTCATGTGGCTGAAAATCAGAAGCTGGTCTCAAACCAGCAACATTGACTTCATAAAAATAGCCTGATCTTACTATTGTAGAGCCAAGCAATATATGTATGTCTGCAAAGTACATACAGTACATTTAAGCATAAAGATAATTAAACTGGATCTATTTTGTTGGATTTTATTGTTAAGTTCTTCAGTTAACACTTACAATGAAGAGGAATGGGGAAATAGTCTCAATCTATTCTGATCATAAAAATCCCATTTTCAATATCCTCCCATTAGATATAAAATATACCAGTGCTAAAAATGCTTTTAATGGTGCCAGTATGATCCAGTTCGTCACATATGATTCTTTTAAAATCCTCACTTGCAATTATAAAATTCCATTTCATTTCCTATCTTTAAGGTTTAATCTTACCATTCTGACTACTATTTCTTGCTCACATAAAATTCTCTGGAATGCAGTAAAATAGAATGCAAAGAGTGAAAATACATTACCAATGAACCATGAAGATTGCCTTTCCTGAGACCAGCATTTTACAGCTTGGGTGCTCCAAAAATCCCTAGAATACAACATAAAATTAAAAATTTCTTCAGTGATCCCCTCTCTCATATTATTTTTCCCCTCTCTACAGTATCTTACCCATCAGCACGATCTCTGGAATATGCTTCCCATTTGAACAATGTGGAAAACAAAAACCCCACTATGATCCTAGTCCCTCTTCTAGTATTACCTAATCTCTGTCATTTGCAGAAAACGTACTTGCCCTCCATTTATTTTCCATTTGGTTTTGAATGCAATCCACTGAAACTACTCTTTGAAGGTCACCAGTGACACCCCCATAATTAAATTCAAAGGTCCATTCTCAATCTGCATCTTACTTGACCTGTCAGTGGCATTTGCTAGTTGGTCATTCTGTCCTCCTTGGACAACATATTTGCTTGATATCTAGTACACTATAGTCTCTCTCTCTCTCTCTCATCTCTCTTTATCAGAACCAATTGCTGGTTCCTGCTCACCTCCCTGACTTATCATTATCTTCCTATATTCTAAATGTTGAAGTCTTCCTGGGTTCACTCTCTTGGTGATCTCATTGTTATCATGGATTTGAATAACTTCTATCCTCTGCTGGAGTCCCAAATTTCTATCTTCAGATAGAACTTCTCTTTTGTAGATCATAATGAGTTATATAAATATCTACATCTCCATGTAGGTATCTAATAGGCAACTCCAGTTTGAAAAGTCTAAAACTTGACTGCTTTTCCACTCTCCTCTACAACAAAAATCTTGTTTCTCTACAGTCCTCCCCCACCCAGTAAATAGAATTTCCATCCTTCCAGTTTCTCACATCACAAATCTTGAAGTTATCCTCATTTCTCTCTTTCTCTCATATCTAATAGCTGCACTGGAAGCATATACTATTAATTCTACCTTTGAAATACATTTAGAATCTGACCACATCTCAGCACACACACTGTTACTACCTGATAAAAATCACCAATATCTTTCTCTTGGATTATTTCAGTTGGCTCCTCACTCATCTCCCCGTTTCCAATCCAGCATTCTTTCAATTCTCAACACAGCAAAAGAAGTTTCATAAGTTAAATCACTTCATTCCTCTGCTCAAACTTTTCAATGACTTCCTATTTCAATCAGAGTAAAAGCCTAATTTTGAAGTACTTGACCTTTAGATAAGATAATACATTGGTATAATTCTCATCTTTTAAATATATCAAAGGGAGAAGAATCTCTGAAAAGCTAAAATAGTTTTTAAAATTAAGGAAAACATAGCTCTAAAATTTAATTGCAGATTGAGAAAAAGCAGGGGTAATTTATACCATATTTCTAGGTAGATCACCTCTTCAATTAGATCTTAAAGGCTACTCTTGCCTCTTCAGAGCAATTTTCATATAATTAGAACAACATTTTGGAAGTTCCTAATCTATTTGTTTGATTTTATATTATTTAATCTCCCATTTTACAAACATTTTCTATCTCCTAGGACATAAAGAAAGAAAGATTTATAGATTTCAGTTTTCCTAATTCTGTCCATTGAAGTTTACTTGATGTCCAAATATTTTTTTCAGGTACTGAAATGTTTAACAGGAATAAATCCAATTGAATCTAGTTTGAACTTGATATGATCACTACCTTGACAATTTCAGATTCTTCCTGAGGTATCACAAATTATAAAAAATGGACCTATCAGTCTTAATTTAGCCACAGTTACTTTAGTTAACTTAGATACATTGTTTGAAAATTTATAGAGCCATCTTCTCCATGATGCTGTGCAGTATAATATAGGTCAAAAATGATTTATTTCATTCCTGAACATCCATAACTTAGGGTTTATTTGCAATTTGGACAACATAAATATATACTGTTTAAATTCATTCCTAATTTTTCCCTGTGCTGAACTCTTATTTGGATTATGAATAATAAATTGCCAAAGGCAATTTATTTCTTGGTGACCTCATAATATTTGCTACCAGAGGTACCGGTAACTTTTATTTTTAATTGAAGGCACATGCATATTATGGCAATATATAGTTTCTGTTTCTGAGCAAAAATTATAGACAAGGATATTTAAATTATTAAAATTGACACGTTCATTGTGTCAAAAGAACAAATCAGGAAAAATAGCTTTTCTTAGGTTCTTTGGAAATGATTGCAAAATTTTTCTTTTGTTTTTGATTACTTCTAGCAAGCTCTATTGCCAAGATTGGCTCAGATCCTCTAAAACTCGTACATGATGCTGTGGAGGAAACCACAGACTGGATCTATGGATTATTTTCTTTGTTGTCTGATATCATCTCATCTGAAGGTGACGAAGAAGATGATGATGGGGATGAGGACACTGATAAAGGTATAAAGAGCATAGAGACATATCTAATTCTTAGGACCAACATTAGACATGTATTACAAATGCTGGCCTAGGTTTAATCCCAAATGAGCACTTGGATTAAACTAAACCAAAATGAATACATTTTCTGAGGGCTAAAATGATATCAACAGGCTGCCAAACATTGGTCTCTATTTGGTTTCCATCTTATAGCATGTCTGCTGTTATGGCAAAGATGTCAAAATTAAATTCTCATATTAGAGTAGTATTATAGTAGAGAAAGTATTACAATGCAATACTGTAAACTCAGAACAGAAACTCACATGTGTATAGTTTTTTGAGAAAAAATACTAGCTATTTTTCAAGTTTGTCTCTAGGAAAACTGAAATTAAAACAGTAAAACTAAAAATACATATAAATGTTTATACACATAAGTTATCTTCATAGTCAAATAGCAGAAGGCAATCTTAAAAAGCATGATCAAAGAGTAAATTTATTGAAACAAATGATGGTAGGTATAGAATGAAGGGACACATTCTAAATGTCACACCAATTATGTAACCTATGTGCTCTCTCAAATATTAATGAATAAAAGGAAATAGACAAGCCAAATCACACAAAAACTGCCATTAAATGGGTATGAAAAGAACAAAGTATTGTGATTCTGTCTTTCAGATAACATTATTTTAGGATTAGTATTAGTCATCAGAAATCAGGTATTCAGCCTTGAGTACCAGGAAAGGTTTTAGTATTAGAGCCTCTTCTATAACTTTGTCTGAATTTATAATTTTTTTTTGTCCCCACTGAGAGGTCAAGATGAACAACAGAGAGCTGAAATTAACATGATATATAACCTATAATGTATAATTTGGATCACTGCCACAATTTTATTGAACTCATAAAAATGAAACTATCTCAAATAAAAGTACATACAAAGTTTATATTTAAAAACTGGAATTTGGGAAGCAAAGTAATAAAAGGAGTATAATTGTCAAAACTAATAGATTTTTTTAAAATAAAATGAACAAAAGAAAATGGGAAAATAGTGAAGATGCTAAAAAGTTTTTCTAATGTACTGTTTTTGTCTTGGTTTAGGAGAAATAGAGGAGCCTCCCTTTAAAAAAAAAGGTAAGTTGTTTTCACTTTTGAAAAAAAATTATTTTCTTTTATGGTAAAGTTGATTATCAGTTTAACTCAAATATTTTTTACTTGAGTTTTATGAATTTATTTTTAATATAGAGGTTTTATTTAAAGATTATATTAAGGTGCATAGTCAGTAAAAAAAAAATACTTAATTTTTCCAATGAAGCTGATCTCGCTATTTTTCAGTTGATTATTTTTGGATGCTTTCTTCAGTAGATTGGTGTGAATCTATCCATACACAGACCAATGTGAGCTGGAATTTTAGGAAAGAGGGGAGAATTTTACAGCCAGTGATCTTTATTCTCATACCATAGACAAATTTATTGATTTCAAATTTTTCGTCTTATTATTTTATTGTCAATATATTTTGCATATTAAGCAATGACCATGGGACAGGATAGCTGAGATAGCAAGAAGCATAGCCATCTTGGAGGCAAGGGCATATCTAGTCAGTGTGAATTATGTGCCATTCCCAAGGAGTGGAGTCACCTAGATATGCTTGGATGTGGTGTAGAGGGGTTCCTTGCAGGAATAGTTAGAATTTGTAGCTTCTGCAACAGCAACAAAAGAATTAAACCAGTGAAACCCAACTTAAAAATTTTGTTTAGCGGCATGCAGAAACGAATCTGTTTTTTATAAAGCTTTCTGAGGAGATAGGAAGAGTTTCTTGACTCATGAATTCAGGATGAGGACACAAGAACTCAAGACAAACTTAAGCCATCAACTTCAGGTTTAGAGATTCTAGATTAGAATCTAAAAACAACGTTAGAAACATCTATACATCAGAAACAAGGTCTTTTTATAGCTGATCTCCAACGGATGGTGACTAGAACATAGTTAAACTTTAAGTGAACTGCTAGTAATTATCTGGAAATAACAGCTTATGCACATGTGCTTTTTTTAAAATTGGAAATGGAAGAGGGGAAAAACAGATAATACTATTTTCTCATTTATATTTATAAATTGAATTTCACAGAATATCATAAGGTCATATTCTCCATAAATTGATATCTACTATTTAATAAAAAAATCTCTTCTTTCCTTTTGATTTAAATTTTCTTTTAAAATGATTTTAAAATTAACTTTGATGTAATGAGTAGAATAAATTGCAAATCCACACAAAGCTATTTAATTATTGCTTCTTAAATGACTGCCTTGATTCACCAAATCAAATTTTCAGCAGAAACACTATTAAATAGTTGTTTAGGATATTTATTAAAAATGTCAGAAATGCTCATTAGTCAAACAGTCTAAGGGATATATTTGCTTAAATACATGTACACTAATGACCTGAAGGTTTCCATACTCGAAATGAGAGAACTGACTTAATATCACCTGAATGTATTTTCTTAATAGTATTATTACAAATTTACATGAAAAAATGGACATTTAAGTAAACATCTTATGCATCCGATTTTGGGTACAGAGCCTATGTAATAATAAACATCAGTTGAAAGTGGACTAACAGAGATATATTTCATTGTAATTATTATTTTTTATGTATAAGCTTTTCTTTTGTAGAGACATAGAGGCAAAGAGAGCTTTACAATAATATGTATCATGTAATAAAACATTTCTAATACACATTCTACATCTAAAAGTATGCTTTTGATATTATTAGGAAAGAAATTCTATAAGCTTATTCTTATCTCATCATGGGTTATTTTACCCTTTTTTTTTTATTGAGTCAGAGTCTTACTCTGTTGCCCTGGCTAGAGCGCCATGGCGTCAGCCTAGCTCACAGCAACCTCAAACTCCTGGGCTCAAGCAATCTTACTGCCTCAGCCTCCCCAATAGCTGGGACTACAGGCATGCGCCACCATGCCCGGCTTACCCATTTTTATATTTAAAATTTTCATGTAAGAAGTAATTTTTTTGGTAATCCTGAACGATAATCTCTTAAAACATTTTGTTTTCATCCATCTAAATGACTCTTCAGCAGGGGTCCTAAAACTACAGGCCATGGGCCACATGCAGCCTGCCGAGGACATTTATCTTGCCCGCCAGGTATGTTTGCTCCACTGCCTGTCCTGCTTAGCAGCCGACTCATGCCAAGCCCACAGTGTGCATGTGTGGAGTGTGCACCTCACTCTCCAACGGCCCTCCAATGGTCTGAGGGACAGTGAACTGGTCCCCCGTTTAAAAAGTTTGAGGACCTTATCATATACAAATAAATATTATTATATGCAAGTAAGTTGTTATATTCCTAATTTTTATTCTGATGTCCACTCATATCTCTCCTTTTTCATTTTCTCATGCTTCTTTGCACAAACTAGTTTCTGATCTCCTGCCTTCTTTTAAGTTCAAATTTATTCATTATAACTAGGTGTAAACATCTGACCACTTCATCAGATCTTCTAGCATAGTTATCCCCAAGTTATATACCTTTTATTTCTCTTTTATGTTAATATTAGTTTTATTTAATTTTTAACTTATTTATAAAATTGTGCATAGGTAGAGCATGTTACATCTGAAGTGGAGTTGGAGGATAATAAAGAAGAGGTATTTGTATTTGCCCTTTAAAAAATAAAAGGCAAAAGTGCTCATTGAGAACTACTGAACTAGGTGAAAATAGGAGCCACATGGCTGAAAGAAAGCCAGAGTGCCTTGTGTAGAAGCACAACTTAGAAGGGAAAAGAGACATTTAAGAGGTAAAAATGGATTTGGGAACTGTTTAGATGTGTATTTGAGGGAGAGCATGGAGTTAAGGGTGACCTCTCGATTTCTGCTTGTGCGGATGGGTGGATGGTGGCACCATTTACCTATACACAGAATATAGGTAATGATGCGTGTGAGGGAGGCAGATTGAGAGTTCCATCTTGGATGTGTAAAGTCAATGATGTCTGTGAATATAACAACTTACTTGCATATAATAATATTTATATGTATATGATAAGAGACAGAACGAAGTTACCTTAATTGAAATACAGATAGTATGCAAGAAAATTTACAGCTTGCTGTAGTGGATAAAATGAGGAAATATTATATTCTTGCAGACGAGCTGTCATCATACATGAATGTCTTGTGAGACATTCAAAATTCATGTAGGGTACAAAATAATTTCTTATTGTGAGGAACTGTCCAATGTATTGCAAGATGTTCAGCATACTTGGCTTTCACATGCTAAATGCCAGTATCACCTCCATCCCCACCCCTGATCATGGTGACAACCACAAACACCGCCAGACCTATTCATCCTTTGTAGAGCAGATATTTTGTAACATCCTCTTTGCTGTCCTGAGATGATTCATAGACGATAAAATCTACTTACACACATGAATTTCTTTAAAAATCAATGTAATGCCTTAACTGTATTATAATGGAGAAATAGAAGGTAAGAAATTTATAATGAAAATAAAATGAATTTCAATATGTAAATACACAGGAATGACTATGACATGAAATAGATTGACCTGAAATAGATTGTTTACTCTTACTTACAATGAATAGGTTTGGATTTAAGAGCCGATCAGAGGCTGCTTCCTGTGAAGTACAGGAAAATGAATGATTAGAGGTATGGGGGACACTAGAATAAAACCTAGTCATTAGGATAAATCATAACATACCATATACCTTATCTGTATATGGCCAAGGAAATAAGAAAATTTCCTTACTTGAAATAAGAATAATAGAACAAAACCAATTACAGATTGTCTCAAAGGGAACAAATGAATTAAACTCTCTCAGACAAGATGTAGGGTCCTATATAAATGTCCAGCAGGACATTAGAAAGTCGTTTGGGGTTCAGAATAATTCTTCGTTGTGTGGGACAAACCCCTCTGCAGGACATCTCTTGTCCCTGCAGCATCTGCTCAATGCTGGTAATAGTCCCCCACTATGATGGGACCGCCACCAACGCCTCAGTCTCCTAAATACCACTGGGAGAACCACTGACCTAGTTGATGTGTATCACCCTCAGATGAGGCAAACTGTTATCTGTGAAGAAATAGAAATGCTTAAACCATTGTTTTTTTGTACTTTACGCCTTGCTTTGTTCATTTTAAGTATCTATCCAACTTGAAATTTTCTGCTGTTTGCATTGGAACGTAAGCTTTCGAAGGGCCAAAGCTGTCTTGTTCACTGTGTCACGCCTGATGTCCAGGCTCACTGATCCATTGGCTAACTCTGTTGAATAAATTAAGCTCAACTCTGTATATGTCAGTTGAGTTGTATTGCTTCTTGTCCTTCAGCTGAATTTGAACTAATAAAAAGAAAGAGTTAAAAAAAAGTTTGAGGACCCCTGCTCTTCAGTAATATTATTTCCAATTCAAATATATTCAATTATATTTAGCCATTTTATACTATTGATATTTAAATTCTAAATTACCAGGCTGTGGCATATTTTTATTCAACTGCCCTGTGTCAATCTATTTTCTGTAAATGCATTTAAAATGTTAATTTTATTTGACCAGTTATTGCTCTTCTTACCAAAATAAAAATTCAACCAGCTTGTTATTTATGGGTGAAGTTTGGCAGTTCTAATTTGATATAGAATAATGGTCCCGTCAACTAATCTCAGGGTTGCAGAATTGATTATTAAACATATTATTAATATGGATGATATTTTAAAATATGCTATTCTGTGGCTTATATTGTTATATATAAATATAGCTTTAGGGTATTACATGTAGTACTTAGTGTCTTTTTATTTGTCATACATATTTATTTTTTCAACTTGTCAAAATTTTAATATATTAAGTTATATTACCAAACACTTCAACATGAAGTTCCAAGACACAGAACCATTGGAAAATTGTGTAGTTTTATTATATAATTATTTAAAAATTTAACTCTATGGGAGATGGACACACTTGAAGCTCTTACTTGAGGAGGGAGGAGTGCATGGGCAATATATGTAACCTTAACACTTGTACCCCCATAATACGCTAAAATACAAATAATTATAATTCTGAAAACAAAATACTATGGTCAACTACATATCCTGGAAAAAATATTCATTGTGTATAGGGGGTGTACTTTGTATA